AGGGTTTAAAATAGGGTAGGCCAGCATCCTTCACAGTGTTTCTCAGGGTTTTCCCAATGATTTTCATTTGTTTATGTTATTATATGAAATTTGCAATAAAATACTTATTTCCAGAATAAAATCTGATGGCATATACAGCATCAAATCGTATCAATTTTGCAAGTTCTCTAAAGGAAAATTGATAACTGTATATTGTGCCTAGGTATTTTATTTCTATAATATTTTAAACATCTTTTCGTTGTAGTATAATACACATAAAATTCACCATTAGTGACATTTAGTACATTCACTCTATTGTCTAACTATCGAGACTATCTACTAAACATTTTTACCACCCCCCAGAAAACCCTGAATCTGTTAAGAGTCACTCCTCGTTTCTCCCTCCCCTCAACACTTGGCAACTGCTAATCTGCTTTCTGTTTCTAAGGATTTTCCTGTTCTGGATATTTCATTTTGTCTGAGGAGGAGCTACAAGTAAAATGCCCACCATACTGAGAAGGTATGTGGAGATTGAGAGAGTAGGGGATTTCATGAGGTAAAGCAAAGAATTTTATTAAAGGGTGACTTACATGCAGGATGATGGATCAGGTGGGCAATGATCCAGCAGTATATCCAAGGTTTCTCCAAGATGCCCCCTGATCGACCCCAAGTTTATATAGGCGGTTCACACAAAGAAAGCAATGGAAAAATCTACAAGGAAGTTACAAACTACAAAAACAAAAACAAAAAAATCCAATAAGTTGATGTTACTGGCTCTAAATGTTCATGACAATGGCGATCTTGTGATGTGGGTGAGCAGACTGGCTCTTGTCATATCAGTACTTAATCATTAAGCTCCTTTATTACAATCAGCAAGTTGTTCCTATCTAATGTCCTGACTACCTTGCCCCTAGTTACTGTATAACTCTTGCAGTCAAGATTCACACGAAGGACACAAGTGATAAGGTTTCAAGATGGAGTCAGTCATGCTCACAGTCTCACACATATGAATGTAATTATAACCTACGTGGCCTTTTCTGTCACATATTATTTTCAACTCTATCCTCATGCTTTTGTAACTTCAGCTTCACCTCTCATTTTTACTTAGAACTGATTGTATTTTGTAAACATAAAAGTAAAACTGTCTCTAAGAGACTTTTCTATCCAGTTAGTTTGCTGAATTTTACTCTGTGTGTGTATCTGTATGTGTTAGATTTTCCTACTGTTTTTTGTGTGTTTCCAGAGATATAATTATATCATCTGCATATGGACTTTTACCCTATAACCTACAATTCTTTTCTCACATTTTGCTCCTTCTTGTTAAATTGTTTTGGCAATTCCCTTCAAGATGATATTGTATATAGAGGAGACATGAAGCTCCTTAGAGTTATTTCTGACTTTAGTGGGAGTTTCTGTCGTGTTCCCTAGATTGTTGTCAATTTTTGGAGGATACATCAATTCCAAATTTACTGTTTTTATAGAATATTATTTCTTGTTGAATATTGCCAACTTTTTTTGTACTTATGAATATGAGCCCCCTATTTTGCCTCTTTATATATCTAGGATGAACTGTATTAGTGGATTTTCTAATATTAAATCTTATCTGCATTCAGGGAGTAAATTCTATTTGTTCATCATATGTCTTTTTTATTTTTTATTTTTTATTTTTTTTAATAAAGATGACCGGTAAGGGGATCCTAACCCTTGACTTGGTGTTGTCAGCACCACGCTCTCCCAAGCGAGCTAACAGGCCATTCCTGTTGGGGCATTGAGGCCACACACCTCCTCCTGGGACAGAGAACTAGCCACGACCCCACCCACATATGCATATGTAACCTGTTGAAAACATTCACCTGGACAGTAGAGATAAAGATGGTGCCTGACGGAGGCCGCCGAGGAGTGACCAAGGAAAGACGTAGTTTAAAATCATTGGATAAAAGATATTTCCGCGCTCGTGCTCACCGCGTGATTGCAACAGCAAAGCATTAGAGCAAGATGCATGCTCACATGACCTTTAAGATGATAGGCTGAAGTTAGGAAATCCCCTTGCCATATGCTTATACAAGCAGGTGCTTGTGTGGAAATAAACGGAACTGCTTGATGGAACCCCTGCCGCATCTGAGTGTCTCTCTGTGGGGCTGAACGGCAGGTGGCATCCTCACCTTCCTCCCGGGCTCTCCGGGCCACTAGGGTGGCAGGAGTAATCTTACCAGTTCCCTCTCTTGCTCATCCCATGGTGGGGGGATAAAAGGGGCTATAGCGAGGTTCGGAGCCTGCCACTCCTGAGCCACCGCAGCTGGCGCCCGAACGTGGGGCACGAGGGTTAGGGCAACCGGTCCGCTGCACGGCCAAGAAAGAAGGGTGATGAAAAGGCCACTGAGCCACAGCACGGAGTTCTCCTCAGAAGAACATCTCCTGGGAGTAGTTGAATTTGTCGGGGTGAGTACCTTGGGTCATGTCGGCTCTCCCCTACCTTCCCCTTAACCCTTCTTGCTTTGCCCTCTTTCACTTTCTTGGACCTTCAGTGAACGGGAAATGAAAGTGAGACAATTGACGAATCCTGGCCGGGGCAACTCCCCGGTGGACTCTGAAGGTCTCATCAGTAGTGACCCCAGTAGCGGCAGCCTGTGTGAGTGAAGGCTCCTCTCCTTTGCTTACTTTGCAATATGGGAAACAGTGCTGGAAAGCATGACAACCCGGCCTTTAATTAGCCTTGCGGTATCTCTTAAAGAGCCAGGGGCTTGACCTCTCAGACAACGTGGCTAACAGGACCTGGGAGGCCGTGATGCAGGGTGCCCTCGGCCAATTTTTTTTCCTATGACACCTGGGATCGAGTCCAGACACTGACCCGTCAGAGAGAAGTCCATCAGGGAATAGACCCACCGTTGGGGTTCTATCCCACTATATCTGCCCTCAAAACATGTTTTCCGCCCATGCAGGGGCCAGCCCCGATAATATGGAGATAGAATGTAAATGGGCCCAGTTTACACAGGAGCGGGCCCTAACTGGGCCCCCGTCTACTACATCTGAAGGAGCCCTGGAGCCCGCCAACCCCAGGACAGTTTTTGAAAAGGATGTGGGGGGATCCCAACACCAAGGTCCCCCTTGCTCTGAGGAACCCGAGAGTAAATTATATCCTCCACTTCCCCGTCCCTCGGATGAATACTCCACCCCTCAAAACCCTTGGGGACCACCTCTGCCATTTAATGATCAGACACAGGCATATCCTGTTCACACACCTGTTCAAAAAAAGATGTTTATAGAAACATGGGAACACCTGATAAGCCCAAGGGACCAGCTCCAGGCCTATCCTGTAAACATTAACCCAGGGGGAAACAGACCGCCATTTGGTACCCATGGGAACCTGGCAATTTAAAAGATTTAAAAAAGGCAGTTGCAGAAGATGGGCCCAACTCGCCTTGGGCTGAGACCATCCTTCAGGGGCTGGCCCACCAACCCTGCACCACCGAAGACTGGAAAATGTTATGTAGGGCCGTACTCCCTGCTGCCTTGTACGTAAAGTTCTGTGCCTTTTTTAAGTAGTAATGCCACCTCCAGGCGGAGAGAAACCAGGTGGCAAATCCTGTGATCCCCATTACATTTGGGATGTTGTCAGGGACCGCCGACCCCTATAGTACAGGAGTACAACAGGCCGCCATCCCACCTCCTCATTTTACTGTGCATCTTGGGGGTGTGAAACTACCAGTGATGCTGATTGGAACCCATCATCCTCTTGGGACTATATTACAGTTAAAAAAATGCATATGCCTTTAATAATAACCCTCCGCCAAGACAAGATAACAGTGGAAACACTTAAAAACCTCCAGAGTGGCCTTGTATGGGGATTAAGATTTATACAAAAATGGATATGATTATGGAATTCTTTTTTCAATTATATATTCCACACAGCCTATTACTAGTAGTGTGGGACCAAACCAAGTTCTTATCAAACCATCAGCTGTTACCAATACTAAAGAAACAAACAGTACACACTCCCCCAAACCAAGGATGAGCCCCGCCCCAGCGCTCCCAGTTTATGGGCAATTGTAAATGCCACTTATACTGCACTTAAATGTCCATAATCAAATATGGCCTGGACTTACTGTGTAGCACGTTGTGGGTAAGGAAGTCTGTATAGGAGGCAATGACACCACTTTTTGTGATAAAAAAGTAACACTCACAGGACAATGGAATAAGCCTGCCCAGGGGAAATGGCTGTGCACCCGGTCAGGACTTACACCTTGTATATATAATGCTTCTTTTAATAATGAAATTTGTGTTGCAGTAGACATTCTTCCCAAGGTATGTTGGCACGAACGATCCGAGATGTACACACATTGGACAACCAAGGGCAGGCGATTACATAAAAGAGGCATCGGAGCCGCAGTGGCCGTATCCTCCGTCTTCGGGGTCATCAGTGCCAGCACAGGAACAGCAGGAATAGCATATGCTTACCAAAACATTCAAGATTTAAGACAGACTGTAGATGAAGATTTAGGCCAATTAGAACATTCTATAAGCCATATGCAAACTTCATTAACCTCCCTTTCTGAGGTTGTGTTACAAAATTGTAGAGGATTAGATCTTTTATTTTTACAGCAGGGGGGCTTATGTGCTGCCCTCAAAGAACAGTGTTGCCTTTACGCTGATCATTCAGGAGTAGTGCATGAATCTTTAGCTAAGGTTAGAGAAAATTTAGAAAAGCGCAAAACAGAATGAGAAGCTCAGGCAAGTTGGTTTCAATCATGGTTTAATAATTCTCCTTGGCTCACAACCTTATTATCATCCCTGGTGGGTCCGTTGTTATAACCTCGTTAGCAGTAACAATTGGCCCATTGGCGCTTACCAAAATAATTAACCTTATACGATGTAATGTGGGGTCTATCACTATGCTTGCCCAAGTGGTAGATGAGGTGGCCCAAGAAACCCTCTAACCCATGGGTAAATATGGCTCTCCAAAAAATTTATTCCAGATACTAAAGAGTTCCACCAGATCTCCACTTGGTTGGATAGTCAATGATGGATAAGATCCCCAGAGGGGGACAACCTAAGACAGGCACAACCACTTGAGGCTGGCGAGACTGTGAGGTTAGCCGCCTACAGCTGCTCATAAAAAACAAAAAGGGAGACCTGTTGGGGCGTTGAGGCCACACACCTCCTCCTGGGACAGAGAACTAGCCACGACCCCACCCACATATGCACATGTAATCTGTTGAAAACATTCCCCTGGACAGTAGAGATAAGGATGGTGCCTGACGGAAGCCACTGGGGAGTGGCCAAGGAAAGACATAGTTTAAAATTACTGGATAAAAGATATTTCCGCGCTCATGCTCACCGCGTGATTGCAATAGCAAAGCATTAGAGCAAGATGCATGCTCACATGACCTTTAAGATGATAGGCTGAAGTTAGGAAATCCCCTTGCCATATGCTTATACAAGCAGGTGCTTGTGTGGAAATAAACGGAACCCCTGCCGCGTCTGAGTGTCTCTCTGTGGGGCTGAATAGGCGTGTGGCATCCTCACCTTCCTCCTGGGCTCTCCTGGCCACTAGGGTCCACTAGGGTGGCAGGAGTAATCCTACTAGTTCCCTCTCTTGCTTATCCCATGGTGGGGGGATAAAAGGGGCTACTGGGAGGTTCAGGGCCCACCGCCCCTGAACCCCCGCACATCCCTGTATAGGATCCAAACCCATGGCTTTGGTGATAACAGCACCACACTCTCCTAA